AAGATAGTAATACAAGAATTATTCTAGAATGGATAACATTTCAAGAGTAAATGCTAGTAAAAATCGGGCAAGGGGTAGTGATGATCTTGGGCGAAGATCAAGTATAACAATATAAATGTTTTTAAAGTAAATATAAGATCCATAAATAAATTTATATTTTTTCAATAACTTTGTCAAATTCATATATTTCTTTTAAGAATAAAATATATTATATTGTCACATGGCATGAGTTAGATTGGAGTAACTAACTTGCTATATTTTATTATAACAATATAATAATTTTATTAATGTTAAAGATAAATAATAAATAAATTTTTAGTATAGAAGTAGACAGGCAAGCATTTTTATTAAAAATGTATAATAATTATTCAAATAAACAAATTAATATAAAATAAAGCTTTTTTTTGATTTTGTTATTTTTATGAAATAGAAAAAATTCCAATTACTATACTTCACATCTAGTGTTTATTTACAACTTAATATCTATACAGTATACAGTATATAATTTTTCTAATTTTTTTTGAACCAGACTGTTTTATTTTCGACAAGTCAAATATATAAATGGTTTATTAAATTCGATGATTTTTTTTTTAATTTAATATATATATAATTATTTTGTCAATTTTAATATCCAGACAACAAAAAAGTATACTTTTTTTTTTTTGATCATACAATTTCTAATTAGTCCGGAGCATATGTAAAAGACCATAAATGTCTGACTATACTAAATTAAAACTCAGTCAATCCACCTTTGTATCAAGTGATTTATGCATAACGCATATAACGTCATTTCCACCACTTTTTAGTACTAATAAAACACAAGATTGCTTTTTCGACAATACACAAGAAATACGTGAAATGTTACATTATCTTGGTATAATAGAAAACAATCGCTTTCTAATCTTTTGGCTCTGGACCCGTTTTCTAGCAAAATTTCTTAATAAAGTTTGAAAGAATCAAGAGCTTTATTTTTGATAGGTTGGTAATAATTTTTTAATTTATTTCATGTAACGTGAATAAATATGGTAATTATTAATAACTAATAGAAAGAATTATAAACTTTTCTCACGGATCAACATTTGGCGCAACGCGTCGTACGCATGTTACACTGGCAATCATGATGGCTACATGGGAAATTATGCGTGAATCGTTCTCATCTAATTTCTCTTCTCTTTTTCTTTATCAAATTTAACGAATAAAAAAATGGCTGATGAATCAGGAGCTATTAACAGGAATACCAGCAATACCAACTACGGAACCATCGAGAATGAAGGAGGGCCAAGTACACATCAAATTCATGAAGTTCATATCGACCCTCGTGGTTGGTCATTCATCAAATATAAATTCCGCGAACCTTTTGCTGAATTCTTGGGAACTTTTACCTTGGTAACCTTTGGTATTGGTAGTATCGCTCAAACAGTGCTTAGTAAAGGAGAAAACGGAAATTGGATTACCATCTCTCTCGGGTTTGGATTAGGATTGGCGTTGGCCTTAGCTGTGTCTGGAAGTATTTCGGTATGTCCGTAGTAACGTTCTTGGTAAAAATTATCACACGATATTCTTTCTAAATTATTTGACATGAAAAATAGGGAGGACATTTAAATCCGGCCGTTACGATCACACTTGCCGTCTATCGTAACTTTCCTTGGTTGAAAGTTCCTATATACATCCTTGCCCAAACAGCCGGTGCTTTCGTAGCTGCTTTTGTGGTCTACTTGAATTATCATGCAGCCCTTGCTAATTTTGATGGAGGAAATCGTATCGTCACTGGTGAGCTCAAGTTTTAGTTATGATAGCGCAAACAAACATAACGTATAATCATAATAACTGTTATATCAAACGAATAGGCGCGAATGCCACGGCCGGAATATTTGCAACATACCCCGCTCCATTCATGGGTACACTGGGTTCATTCTTTTCCGAAGCACTTGGCACGTTCTTCCTGTTGTTGGTGATTCTCGCGGTGACCGATAGTCACCGTAATCACCCCAACATCACCATTGTAGCACCCATCATCATCGGCTTAGGATTATTCACCATCGCTATTTCCTTCGGTTACGAAACAGGATTCGCATTGAACGGAGCTCGTGATTTTGGGCCTCGTTTATTTACATTTTTGGTTGGTTATGGAGTAGAAGTGTTTACCGCTTCCAAGTTTTATTTCTGGATCCCCTTGGTGGCACCGGTGGTTGGTGGTTTGTCGGCAGGGTTTGTTTATGATTCGTTGATTTACTGGGGAAAGTCACCATTGAATAATAACTAGTTAGATTTCGAATAAACTATGCAAATCATTCGATTTCTTATCGAGCAGAGAAAATTTTGTAAAGTCTCAGTAAATAAACGCGTCTACACGTGATTCATATATTTTTTTGTATAATCCGAATTGTGAATTTTATTTGATATATGCAAATTTTCTTTAATGCCACAATGCTCTTGATATAATATGAATAAAAGCTCCCTAAGAGTAATATCAGTAATATCGAGAAAATTCTAATATGAAAGATGTTAAACGTCAAAAGAAAAATATGTTCTCTAAAGAATTTCTACTGCTACATATGCATATGTTTGCTAGAAATATTTTGTGTATTTACATTTGATAATCACATTCCTTCCTTTTCCTTATGACCTCACGGTTACTCATGCAACGGCTTTATTTGTAAAGGAATTTTTGAAATTCGATGTCGTTGCAGACTTTGGGGTTTGAAATTAAAACCTAAAGAGGTAATTAAGGAAAATAACATGAATATATGAACAAGAAACAGAAATAATAAGATTATTATTTTAAAGAAATATCTTTACCTGCAAAAGTTCGTTAAATTTCTCCCTTCGAAATTCTAGGAGATCGTCACTTAAATCCGCAAACAAGGTTTTCTTGGGGAAATTAAACTCACAAAGTTGCATTTTTTTCAGGTGTTGATAGAGCGAAAAGAATTCATTGTATCGGCGCGATAGCACCCATCCAGATTTCAACCTGCCATCTTTGGTTTTTTGTTGTACCATGATGATGTAAACAGCGAAATTTCGGGAATCTGCTGGTTCCAGTGTGAATGCGGGAACCGAAATTATCGTATTTTTCTAAAGTATTTATATTTTTCAACAGATGAGCATATCATTCAAAGGTTAATGTAACTAACAGACGTATACTCACGGGAGAGAGGGCATTTTCCCTTTCTTGAATTTCATATTGTAATTTCTGATAATTAAGTATATGAATTTGGTTCATCAGAGTCTCCTGAATACGTTTGATAATCTTATATTCTTGGTCTCGTTCTTCTTTCATCTCTTTCTCTTCGATTAGCGACTTTGCTTTTTTTTCGTGTTCTGCAATCATCCCAATTTCTTGGTCAAGCTGAATAATCACATCATGGAGGAAAAGTTCACTCGGTGGTGCAACATGAACTTCCGTAAAAGGTTCGTATACGGGTTTGCAAGACTTGACCATTTCATTATGGTCTTCCAGAGTTGATATTGATGCCGATTCTGATTCACTGAATCTGTCGGAATCCGGATTCACAAAGATTGTTGCGTCGTCGCTCTTCTCAACTTCTCGAACTTGCCATTCCGAAATACCTTGAATCCATTCTGGATTTAGTATCTGTACGTCGTCATTAATCTTTTCATTAATTTTAACTTCCCGTGTAACGATTGTTTCGCTAACTTTTGCTGGCCAAGAGACCTCATCAATTGGCATAAAAGATACTTTTGGAATTTTTTCATCTTCCGCATCTAGAAATGGCGCAGCAACGACATGCAGATTATCCTCTGGTATTTCCTTCAATTGAATTGTATCACCCGAATGTGAAACCGACGTACCGTCGTCACTCGTTCCAATTTGTTCTCTGTTTTTGTTTACCTCTAGTGAAATTGACAATTCGTCGATCTTTGGTTCAATTGATTGATCTTTATGTTCTTGATCTTGTGCGCTTTCCATAATTAGAGTCTTGTCGATCTTTTCACCTTGATCTCGGGAACCTCCAGAGACCTCCGGTTTTTCTGTGTCCTGATAATTGGAGATTGACAGGTTGACAAAAGATGCTTGTGTTGTACACAAGTCAACCATTGTATTGGTGAAACTCGTATTTTTCTCGAGTTGATGTTGGCCATCGCGTTTGGATGTATGCTTTTCGCGATCGTTTTTATGGAAGGGGACAGGGTTTGTTGAAGTCGCATCGTGAACGATTTGGTTAGGTTTTGTAAAGTGGATTGCAACTATCTCGTGAAAAGGAGTAAAAGAACACAGAATGATATGGATAAGACACGTTCCAACAAAAATATTAAACGAGAATAACAGGATATGGGTTATGTTTTTAAGCAAGAAAGCAACCGTCAGAAAACCACCAAAGAACCGGATGGCGACTTCTTTCAAGTTTGATCTACATGATGAATTTTTCAACTTGGGCATCGAAGATGTCATCTTTTCACGCTGTTTTTCGACGAAGAAATGTTCGTGCAGTTGATCTTGTTCTCCGCAGTGGTATGCCACAAGTTTCATCATCTCTTCATTACGAGTTATCTCGTAGCTTGTATCGCTTTTGTCGCTTGTAAGTAAATGGTTGCGGGTACGACCAAAGGACGTGTTGAAGTAGGTTATAATTATTTCGCAAAGAGGTGTGAACGAGTTCAAAATGAAGTAGACAAGGCAAACACCGACAAAAATCTCGGACAATAACAACGCGAAATCTATAATGTGATTAAGCAAGAATGAAGATGCCACGACGCTAAAAACGAGCAAGACAATAATATTGTTTCCACTCGATTTGTATGTATCAGATCCAAAATAAGGCATTACCGCCTTTCCTACAGGTTCGAATATGATTTTCTTGTAAGCCGAAAGTATTTCTAATGCAAGTGACATGATGAATAAAAGTCACGAGACAAATGGAACACGTAGCGTAGAATTTTTAAGAAAGTTGTTGAAGCGAGGAGTTTTTAAACTGCCTATCAAAGACAGACAAGTAGAACGAAGAAAAAAAAAAGAAAAAAAAATCCTAGGAAAAGTCCAAAGAACGACCTTTAAATATCATCACCATGTCCAAATACGGTCAACGCAACAATCACCTGTGAGAAGAGAGTTGATGGGCTGCGGCATGAAACAACTTATCGGAATAGATCTTCGACTCATTACGCCGCATCATTGAAGATAGTACTAATAAAATAATAAAATAAAGTAAAATAGAATAAACAACATCTCTTACATCATTACCCACTTTAACAGGTATTCAGCGTTTTTATTTGCGATCTCACTCAAAAATCGTAGAAAACAAATTCGACGCGCGTTTAAAATATCATGTATATTAAATGCATGCACCCGAAGAGGCTTCTTATCAAGCAATCATCTGCACGACGATTGTAATGATTTATACAACTGATGAATGCGTTATAATCTTTGTGCTTATATTAATTACTCACGAGAAGTTAGCAGTTAGATTAGGAAAAACTAGGAAAAACTAGGTGAACGCTAGTATGCAATTTTTTGTGGACACTACATTAATTTTTTTTTTAAGCCACATCAATATTTGTTATCAAACGTTTAGCAAGATGAAAATATTATGTTTATCATCACGTATCAGTCTGGTTGCAAGTTTTCCCTACCAACGGAATATTCAAAACCTCGTTCTCCCTTTTCGCTTTGCCTTTAAATTTTTCGCATTACTACTTGATGGGCGTGCATAAAAAAGAGGTAAATGTTGATGTCCAAATAGAGAATGATTCGAATTTTTCTGATTCATTGATTAGTGTTTTCGTCATTAACTGAACACAATTTTGAAACGATTACCAAATGTTATGATAGATATTATGCCCATTAACTACCCCAAAGGCTTTCTTTTTCTTTTTCGGAGTTCTCATTAAGTTTTTTCCACAGAAAACTGTGTGCAATTTCAAATGAGGTTCCACACCCACATGCACAAAAAATTTTTACACTTTTGAGCATAACACGCGAGTTGGGATCCTTCTGGATAATAAATCCAAAAAAAGTTATAGTATGGCTTTTTTTTTTTTTTTACAAGTTCAGCACGCAATGCAATTTTACAACTTACGTAACATTAACACAGACTCTACACAATCAAAAATGTCGTACGATGCAAAATTATGTCATCCACTACATTGATTTTATTTTATTACATTTTTTTTTGTATGCGTGCAGATCGCTCCGAAATCGGCACGGCTTTAAACACGTTTCTTTTGAAGTGCATTTTTTGTCATTCCTCGGGCGTCTTAATGAGCCAGAGAGGAATTGAATACAAAGAACTTAGATCCTTGGGATCCTCATTCTTACATTTCTCACAATCACACTCAAATCCGTATGTAGGCACCAAAACCATTCCTCTCCTCATTTTACTAATGTTTGGATCGCAGTAACTCGCAAGTATCTGTTCACCCCGTTCGATTTCTCTTGATGAAATAACTGCCATGTCATTCTCTTCGAACTCGTACTTCGGAGTCCGATCCTCATCATTGGAGATCAGGTGAAGTGTTGTGATGTTGAACTGACAAGAATGATTGATCAAAGATATGAATCTGTATAGACATAAATAACCCGGGGATCCGAAAACATTGACTCTTAGAATATTGAATAATGTGATATAAATCCAAAAGTCATATTTCGCGTCGTACGGAGAGATGCCTAATATGCTGAGGGTTTCCAGATAGTACTCAATTAATATCGCCGGAAGCGTGGTTGAGGTGTTGTGAATCGATGGCGACGAGGGTTTCGAAGGGTGAAATTGAGAAAGATATCTTATGTTTGAAACATCAAGAGGTGAGATTTTTTTAATTTTCGCTATGGCAAATAGTTTTAAAAGCATCATGGGATTTTTATCGTTATTCCCGGATTTTCCTTGGCGAACGAGTGACAAAAGAGGTTGAAGGTCCTTGCCACACAGAAGGGTGTGATATCGTGATTCCGCCATCTCGTAACATTGTTTGCTGCAGAAGACCTCATCGCAGTTGGATTTTTCGCATTTGAAGTTTGGTGGAGCCTCTGGGTGTTCGTTGTTAACGCCTCTGATGCGACGCGCGCAGTGATGACATCTTGGAATGGTGTAAGGGTGAACCACGAGAAATGGTTCTTCCTTCCAGATCACCATCCCTTCTGGAATGTCGTCTTCCGTAAATACTCCTATTTGAAATGACGAAAATCCACTGCTCGAAGAATTGCTGGAGTTACTGTTGGCAAATGTCACTCTTCCCACACTAACATTGCATTGAAGATAAGGTGTCAGTTCTTTTTGGAGTAATTGAATGTTTGCATCGGAACATCTA